GTGGCCGGCGGGACGGGCCGAAGCCCCAGGGGGAGCTCTCTAAGAAAAAACCAGAATTATTTAGGCAAAGCAGCCTAACAGCGATGTGTATAAGCATATTTGGAAGTATTCCCCTCAAGATTCAGGTGAGAATCCAGTTGTAGAATTCTGCTGTTCTCGCAGTCGCAGTCGCATTCGCAATGACAGTCGCAGTGGCAACGGTCTTAGGATCCAATGGAATCCTAAGGATTCCGAGGATTTCCCAAGGCATCTAGGAATCCATAGGAATCCTTAGGAAACCTTGGGAATCCTTAGGAATCCTGATTCCTATGGATTCCTAGGGATTCCGAAGGATTCCTGAGGAATCCTAAGGATTCCTAAGGATTCCTGAGGATGCTTAACTATGCCTACGGATTCCTAAGAATGCCTACGGATTGCTAAGGATCCCTAGGGATTCCTAAGGATTTCTATGGATTCCTACGGATGCCGCAGCCTGCCTCAGTTTCAGCCTCAGCCTCAGCCTGCCTCGGCTTGCCTCAGCCTCAGCCTGCCTCGGCTTGCCTCAGCCTCAGCCTCAGCCTGCCTCGGCCTCAGCCTCAGCCTGCCTCAGCCTCAGCCTCAGCCTGCCTCGGCCTCAGCCTGCGTCAGCCTCAGCCTCAGCCTGCCTCAGCCTCAGCCTGCCTCAGCCTCAGCCTCAGCCTCAGCCTCAGCCTCAGCCTCAGCCTGCCTCGGCCTCAGCCTGCCTCGGCCTCAGCCTGCCTCAGCCTCCCCTCCCCCCCCCCCTCCCCCCCCCCATTCAGCCTCACCTTGTCTCAGCTTCGGCCTGCCTCGGCCTCATCCTCAGCCTCAGCCTCAGTCTCAGCCTCAGCCTGTCTCGGCCTGAGCCTGCCTCGGCCTCAGCCTCAGCCTCAGCCTCAGCCTCAGCCTCAGCCTCAGCCTGTCTCAGCCTCAGCCTGCCTCAGCATCAGCCTCAGCCTCAGCTGCCTCAGCCTGCCTCAGCCTCAGCCTCCTCAGCCTCAGCCTCAGCCTCAGCCTCAGCCTCAGCCTCAGCCTGCCTCAGCCTGCCTCAGCCTCAGCCTCAGCCTCAGCCTCAGCCTCAGCCTCAGCCTCAGCCTGCCTCAGCCTCAGCCTAGCCTCAGCCTCAGCCTCAGCCTCGCCTCAGCCTGCCTCAGCCTCAGCCTCAGCCTGCCTCAGCCTCAGCCTCAGCCTGCCTCAGGCCTCAGCCTGCCTCAGCCTCAGCCTGCCTCAGCCTCAGCCTCCTCAGGCCTCGCATTCAAAATATGGCACAGGACTTGTGTTTTGGGAACACTAAGATCACGAAGTGGCCCATTGTTGGCTCCGGGCAATCAAAATATTGCATAGGAATTGTGTTCTGGGAACACGAAGGACACGAAGTGGCCTACAGTTGGCTCCGGGCATTCCAAATGTGGCCTGGGAGTGGTGTTCTCGGAAGACGAAGAACACGAAGTGGCCTACAGTTGGCTCCAGGCATTCAAAATGTGGCCTGGGAGTGGTGTTCTCGGAAGACGAAGAACACGAAGTAGCCTACAGTTGGCTCCGGGTATTCAAAATGTGGCCTGGGAGTGGTGTTCTGGGAAGACGAAGAACACGAAGTGGCCTACAGTTGGCTCCGGGCATTCAAAATGTGGCCTGGGAATGGTATTCTGTTGGCTGGGGGCAGTCAAAATGTAGCCTGGGATAAGGTTTTGGGGAGTCCCCGGGTTCCCGCGGCACCCGTCCGGCATCTGCCCAGACCCCCCTGGGGAGTCATGATGCTCTCTTTTGAGACCACTAGAAACCTATCAGTCTTCGTTGTTAGGTAACCAAAACCGAGAGGGTTCAACACGCCAGGCACCCGTGTGATGAATCAACAGGGGGCGGCGGATCGAAGACGCCTACGGCGAATCACCGCCGCCTCCTGCCTTTGTGGAAGCGCCTATGTGGCCGAACGTTGAGGCCAGACCTGCCAAGCTATCGGAGCATGTGTTCCCCGAATTGGTTTGGAAAGCTTTCGGGGAACACTTGGGCATCTTGAAGGTCATCTTGGCCGCCTGAAGGCCATTTTGACTCTTTCGGGCCTTCTTGGAGGACGTCTTGGAGGGCTCGTGGGCCGTCTTGGAGGCCATCTTGAGCGTCTTGGAGGCCTCTTGGGCCGTCCTGGGGGCCTCTTGGGACCGTGTTTTGGGCGCCTCTTGGGCCGTTCTGGGGCCATCTTGGAGGCCTCTTGGGCGATCCTTGAGCGATCTTTGGGAGCTCTTGGGCCGTATCGGGCCATCGGAAGGCCGAAACGAAGCAAATGTCAAAATCCTTCAAAAACCATCGGAAAGTCAGTCTTGTTTGCCTTTCCTGGCCTTCCTGGAGGCCCTCTTGGAGGCCTCTTGGGCCGTTCTGGGCCAGCTGCGAGCCACCTTCGGCCATCTTGGTGGGCGCCTGGCCCGTCTGACGCCGTCGGAAGCCGTCTTGGGGGCCTTTCTGGGCCGACTTGGGGCCCTCTTGGGGTGCTCCAGGGCTGTCTTAGAGGCCATCTTGGGCGTCTTGGAAGCCTCTTCGGCCGTCTTGGCGCCCTCTTGGGGTCGTCTTGGGGGCCTCTTGGGCCGTCATGGGGCCATCTTGGAGGCCTTTTGGGCGATCTTGGGGCGACCTTGGCGGCCTCTGGGGCCGTCACGGGCCGTCGGAAAGCCGAAAAGGCGCCAACGCCAAAATCCTTCAAAAACCTTCGGAAAATCAATGATTGTGGCCCTTTCGGGCCTTCCTGGAGGACGTCTTGGAGGGCTCTTGGGCCGTCTTGGAGGCCTCTTGCGGATCTTTTGGGCCGTCTTAGACCATATTGCGGCCATCTTGGGCCGTCTTGGATGCATCTTGGGGCCATCTTAGCCGTCTTGGAGGCCATATTGGGTGTCTTGGAGGCATCTTGCAGGCCATCTTGGATTGTTTGAGGATGTCCCGAGCGAAACAGCCGTTTTTGGCGCTTGCAACCGGGTCTTCCGGGTGGCAGGCAGGACGAGCCGAAGCCCCAGGGGGAGTTCTTTGGGAAAAAAAAAGCGAAAACCACAACCGAGAGGGTCTAACACGCCAGGCACCCCTTCGGTAAATCAAAAGGGGCCGGCGGATAACGGAAAGAGCGAGGTACGAGTGATGCGCCCAAGAGGCGTCCCAAGAGGCCCCCAAGAGCGAAAGGTGCCATGAGCTATCTCGCGCAAGTGCCTGAGGCGCTCTTTCCGTTTCCATGCCGGCCCAGGTAACGGAAAGAGCGAGGTACGAGTGATGACGTTCTGCTGTGGGCGAAGCCCTAAAGGGAGGGGTTCCAGGGGAGAGGGGTAGCGTGCGCATTTGAGTGTTAATGGCCGTTTTCAGGTTTCCCCTTCGGGTTTTTGCATGTTTTTCGGGTTCCCCCTCAAGACGGCCCAAGAGCGCTCCAAGAGAGCCCAAGACCGCCCAAGACGGCCCAAGAGGCCCCCAAGAGGCGCCCAAGGGGCGTCCCAAGAGGGCCCCAAGAGGCCGAACTCATCGATTTTCCATCGGAAAACGTATATTTTTAGCATGTGCGCTTTGTCGGCTTTCACAGCGTTGACGACGGCCCAGGAGGCCCACAAGACCGCCCCAAGACGGCCCAAGAGGCTCCCAAGAGGCCCCCAAAACGGCCCAAGAGGGCGCCAAGACGGTCCAAGAGGCGCCCAAGACGGCCCAAGAGGGCCCCAAGACGGCCCCAAGAGGGGGACCACGAACCGAAAAGTTTAGCTTTTTCGCCCCAAGACGCTCCCAGGAGGCCCCCAGAGCCCCCCAAGAAGCCCCAAGAGGCGTCCCAAAAGGCCTCCGGGAGGCGAAAATCATTGATTTCCTATGGGAAAAAGGTACGTTTTTAGCATACAAGGCTTTTCGGTTTTCACTGCGTTGAAGACGCTCCAAGAGGCCCCCAAGACCGCCCCAAGACTGCCCAAGAGGCTCCCAAGAGGCCCCCAAAACGGCCCAAGAGGGCGCCAAGACGGCCCAAGAGGCGCCCAAGAGGGCCCCAAGACGGCCCCAAGAGGGGGACCACGAAGCGAAAAGTTTAGCTTTTCGCCCCAAGACGCTCCCAGGAGGCCCCCAGAGCCCCCCAAGAAGCCCCAAGACGCCCCCAAGAGGTTCCCAAGAGGCCTCCAAAAGGGCCCGACAAGGGCCCCAATAGGACTCCCAAGAAGGCCCAGAGACGCCAAATAAAGAGCGATCGGTAACGCAAAAAGCTCTTCACACCAAGGCTCCCAAGAGCGAACGGTGACGTAAACAAGCTGATAAGACCAAGGCTCCCAGCAGAGAGCGGTGACGTAACAAGTTCCTGACACCAAGGCCCAGCCAAGGCTCAGGAACGGGCAGCAACGCAACAATCTCTGAACACCAAGGCTCCCAAGAGCGAGGGGTGACGTAACAAGCTCTCAACGCCAAGGCTCCCAGTACGAACGGTGGTGTGAGTAATTTCGGTTTCTGTTTCTGAAGCGCTCTTTCCGTTTCTGTGCCGGGCCAGGTCTAGTGGCATTCGGCCCGTCCCGCCACCGTGCCTGGTTGCGGGTCGGAGGCATTTTGGATGCATGTATGGGTCTTTTGAGATGCCTCTTGCGTGCCTTTCGGGACCTCGGGCAAAAGCAAACGTATCAGCGCGTGGACGCGTTGTGGTCCCGTTCTTGAACAGGTAGCACGATGTGTACACGTCCGTGTAAGTTTTACTTATATGGGTTAGATATGACATGTTACATCTAAAGCCATAAGAGTGCCAGACTGCGACAGTGTAAGATGGTTGAAAGTGCGTGTATGTGTACATGCATGGAGATTTCCCGTCGAGGCCCAGGGGGGGAACACGAGTAATGCGGTGAATGCCCACGGTGTCGGTCACGCGGTCTTTGCATGCAGCGCAGCGGGGCCCGTTCATCGAGCAGGGATGAGCGGGCGATAGTTTGCCCAACAGGAGAGAACGGGCAAGGGAAAGTCTGGCGCAGGTGGCGTATCACGACAGCTTTCTCTTGGAAGGCCAAGACACTTTGGTCATCCTGATGGAGCACTGCGAGGTTGGCGTGGGACGTAGACTTCAGAGAAATAGCGCGCCTGGTGTCTCTTTCCCATCTACCCCGCTGCTCATGCAGTGTTTGTTCATTTCCCCTGCCAAACATTTCCAGCCCACAGGATCTGTATGCTTTTATTGACGTTCATCCGCTTTCTCCCACCTTCGTTTCTCTTCGTTTGTCTTCACGTGATTGTCGTCCGCTGTTGGATTTCTGGTAGAGGTGTGTTCAACTGTGGCAGTGTGCCAAGTCGTCCCCACATGACAAACCAGAGTGATGAAAGTGGTCGAAAATAACACTCAGTCATATCTGATCAGACCGTGTGCGTTTGCGCGTTTCGTTGGCTCGAACGTCCTGGTGCGGTTGCAAGCAGCATGTCACTGTGGTAAACAGGCCTCGAGGCCTACTTCATTATTGGATTTGAGTCCAGTGCAGCCCCGAGACCTCCCTAGGCTGACCCTGAGGCTTGCGAGGCGCAGTGCAATGAGGAACATTTGACTGGGAGTGCAGGTGGCTGCGCTCCCGAGGCCCTCAAGGACTGGCTTTGAGGCTTACCTCGCGGCGCCGCACCCCGAAAACAATTTGTCATGGATAACAAGTGGCGATGCCCGAAAGGCCCTCCAGGTTGGCCTCGAAGTCGACTTCGAAGCCCAATTCGGACCCAGCCGTCTGAGAGTCACACGTTTCGTCACCACGAGGACCGCTGGGACCCAGGACTCTCCTCCTTGCTCTCATTACGTTCATTCCATGGGCATTGGCTCGCCTCCAGGGTTTCTGGGCCTCGCGTAGCCTCTCCCAGAATGGTGTTTTCGAAGCTGCTACAAGACAGAGGCCCTTCGGAGATAGAAAGTCGCCGTCCTCATCTTCCACCTCGCTCTCACTCATTTTCTCGGTGGCCTTCCCGATCACTTGGAGTGAGGGGCTTCTTTTCACTCGAATCTGCCTCAAGTCGCACACGTATTGGCTTGCTCCTGGAAGGTGTCGTTGTGTTCATCTCCTTCCCCATTTGGCCGAGGTGGGAGAGCGGCTGGAGCTTGGTCAGAGGTGCCCGCGGCGTCCTGGAGTCTTTGGGGTCTGTGTGGTGCTTGTGCGCCAGGGGGTCCAGTCGGGCCCGCCCGGGGCTCAGGTCGCAAAGATCACAAACAACGAGTTCGCGGCGGCCCCGGTTTTGGACTGCATATCTTCGAGCCCGGAGCAGCCCGCTTCACCCCTGCAGGGGGCACTCCGCACCTGCAGGGGGCACTCCCAGCCGACATGTTGGGCGATGTCACGACACATCCGCGCGTGGCGTTGTGAGAATCCTTGCGCTCCTTGCGCTCCAGGGCCCCAGCGCTCCCACGTGCCTCCTCGAGCCCTCCTGGCCTGCCGCAGCGCCCACCGGTTGCGCTCCGGTTCGGGCCGTGGTGGGCCCTTCCCTTGGTCCTCGTTGCGTTGTGCCCCTTCGCCCTCGTTGCTTGGCTCTCGCTTCTGCGCCCCCCCCCCCCCCCTGCCCTCACCTTGCCCCCCTCCCCTCCAGGAGGGAGGAGGGCGAGGGAGGGGAGGGAAGGATGAGAAGGATGAGAAGACATGAAGAAGGAGGTGCGGGGGTGGCGAAGGGGAGGCAGGAGGGGGAAGGTTGAGCCAGTCCGCCACATTCCCCCTCTACGCCGCTCCTTCTTTTGTCAGCATCGGCTCGATAAGCGTGCACTCTTCCTTTTGACACGTACAGGAATGCGCAGACATTCCTTGGTGCATCGCTCGAAGCGGCGTAAAGGTTTCACCTTCGATGTGTTTTCTCTTCGGGGTCGCCGAAGTCCCGAGCCGTTCCCCAGGGTTGGCTTCTCGTCCTGATGTTTGCTTTACTGTCCCGGAGCCCGAAGATTACATACGGCGACCACCTTCCGTCTTGATTTGCGCCAGACGCTGGATTTCTGGTGCCCTCATTATTTCTTCCTCGGCACACTCTTCTTCAGGCCTTGCGCGGCCGGCATGCCAGGGTGGGGACTTGCGGCACGCGATCTCGCAGCGGGCCGCGACTGGAGAATACTTCTCTGAGGAGCAGGCTCTGTCTGCCCTCCCTCCATCCTCGGCTGGCCATCTCCCCCCCCCCCCGCGCTTCCCCCCCTCTCCGCATGCCTTCTTCCTCAGCTCCCTCCTCCATGTTCTTCTCCCTTTCGTACTGATCCTTCGCCGAACTACGAAGCCTTTCAATCTGAGAAGAGAGCGTTCAGTGGTCGCTTGAGGGAGGAGGTTTTAAACGTGACCCCTCCCCCAAAAAAACAAATGATGGACGTCTGGAGACCGCGGCGAAGAAAGAGGTGGAAAGAGATGAATGCAGAAGGCAACTACGCCCAGAGGACGGGTGGAAAGTGCATGGACATCTGGGAGCGCAATTGTGCAACCTCTTGGGTACTTTAGAGCCTCCTGGAGGGTTTCAGACCATCTTGGGAACCTCGTGGGGATGTCGTGGGCCACATTGGAGCGATCTTGGTCTTGGGCTGTACGTGAGACATCTTGGGGGTTCGATGGAGCAGTATTGGCCGTCCGCGGGTCCACTTGGCCATTCTTGAGGCTGTCGAGGACGTTGGGAAAGAGGGCCTGTAGGCGGGTGGGAGCGGGGCGATGAGGAGGGGGGGGCTTCACATAAACTACCGGAACCGCCCAGCCAGACAGCATGATATCCAGCAGTCGTGGCAAACTCCGCCATCCTGCGTCTATAGGATAGTTCAGTTGATGCCCCGAGGACCAGCTCGGTAGATGGCACGGCCGTTTGTGGAGCATCGTTACGATGTTGTAGCAAGGCGTGGTCGTAGCGTTGCATTGCCGCTGCGGTGCCAATTGGTATCGCTGAACTGAAGCTTACTAGGGGTTTAAATGTTGCCTCTTTGGGTTATATTGAAGCCTTCGCTGGCACCTTGGGGCTTCAGTATGGCATCTCGCGGGCTTGTTGGGTTTCTTGGAGCCGTCTTGAGCGCGATCGTTCTACCGAGCTCGACGGAAGAGGCTCTGACGAACTCTGACGAACGCTGTTCTGGGGCCTTCTCGCGGAATCATTGGGCGTCTCTGGAGCTGTCTTGGGCCCTGAGGCTCAGGGAAGTCTTCCTGAGGCCTTCCAAAGCAGAACATATGCGGAAGCGAAAGACATCGAACACGCACAGGTGTTTCAGTGTTTTTGCCATCGGAGGCTCTACGATGTTTTTGTTTAGGGGCAGGCAGGCAGGGAGAAAGAGTACAATGCAGCATGAGGAAAATTGTGGTGATGAGATGATGATGATGATGATGATGATGATGATGAGGAGGAGGAGGAGGAGGAGGAGGAGGAGGAGGAGGAGGAGGAGGAGCTGGAGCTGGAGGAGGAGGAGGAGGAGGGGGAAATTACGATTCTCCATGGTTCCTGCACGTGGTATTCTTTTTGAAGATCTTTCATTCGATATACGTAGACGTACACGTATATATCGGAGGAGACTCCCTCGCCAACCATTTCACCGTTTCCCGCACCGTTTCCCGCACCGACCAGCTCACCGACTCCCGCACCGGCCAGGTCACCGACTCGAGCACCGACCAGCTCGCTGACTCCCTCGTCCACCATGTCACCGACTCCCGCGCCGGCCAGTTCACCGACTCCCTCACCGACCAGGCCCGATCAGCTCGCCGACTCCCTCGTCTACCAGGTCACCGACTCCCGCACAGACCAAGCCACCGACCCCTGCGCCGACCAGCTCGCCGTCTCCCTCGCCGACCATGTCACCGACTCCCGCACGCTGGCCGGCTGGACGCCGGAGGCTGAGGAGGAGAAGATCAGAGCACATCAAGCACCACGACGTCGAACGCCGCGACTTCGTGCACGCGCAGTTTTGCACGCTAGCTGGATGGACGCCGGCGTGTCGCCACTTCTGGGGGAGGAGGAGGCTGGGGAGGAGAAGATCAGACCAGTACCGCACGCCAGCCGGGTGGACGCCGGCGTGTCGCCCCCTCCGGGGCAGGACACGCTGCAGGATGTGGACGGCGAGGTGGGAGGAGGCCTCGGAGGCCGACGTCGGGGCCTCCGAGGCCCTGCCCGACCGAAGATCCGATCTCACACCTCTTCTGCCGACTAGCTCACCGACTCCCTCGCCGACCGTATCACCGACTCCCGCGCCGACCTGCTCACCGACTCCCGCACCGACCAGGTCACCGACTCCCGCACCGGCCAGCTCGCCGACTCCCTCGCCGACCATTTCACCGATTCCCGCACCGACCAGCTCACCGACTCCCGCTCCGACCAAGTCACCGACTCGTGCACCGACCAGCTCGCCGACTCCCTCGTCGACCATGTCACCGACTTCCACGCTGGCTTGCTCACAGGCTCCCCCACCGAGCAGGCCCGATCAGCTTGCCGGTCCCGCGCCGGCCAGCTCACCGACTCCCGCTCCGACCAGGTCACCGACCCCTGCACCGACCAGCTCGCCGACTCCCTCGCCGACCATATCACCGACTCCCGCACCGACCAGTTCACCGACTTGTGCACCGACCAGCTCGCCGACTCCCTCGCCGACCGTATCACCGACTCCCGCACCGACCAGGTCACCGACTCCCGCACCGACCAGATCACCGTCTCCCTCGTCGACCATATCACCGACTCCCGCATTGACCAGCTCACCGACTCCCGCACCGACCAGATCACCGACTCCCGCACCGACCAGGTCACCGGCTCGTGCACCGACCAGCTCGCCGACTCCCTCGCCAGCCATGTCACCGACTCCCGCGCCGGCCAGTTCGCCGACTCCCTCACAGACCAGGTCACCGACTCCAGCGCCCGTCGGCTCGCCGAGTCCCGCGCCAGCCAGCTCACCGAATCCCGCACCGACCAGGTCACCGACTCCCGCACCGATGCGCAACTGTGGCAGCCAGATCCGGCAGTCACCTCAGACTCTTGGTCAAGCTCCGACCCCGACTCCATAATTCAGTGCAAGACCAGGGTGCGGGACGTTGCGCAGCTGGGCTCCTGGACATACCGGTGCCTCGGTGCCCGTTTCCAGGCGCTTTTCGGCCTCCGCCCACCCGGGGAACGGCTACCAACAATCGGGCTGCGGCTACATCTACTTCGGGATCTACTTGTCCGACTTGTACCCCTACCTGTCCTACCACTCGTGAGCCCCCGCGTCGCCTTTGCCCTCCGCTGCCCCCTCTTCTTCCCTTCCTCGTCCTCCTCCTGCTTCCTCCTCCTGGTGCAGGGGGGGAATTCGTTACTTTTCTTTGAACTCGGCTTTAGGTGTATGGCGGCATCCGCGTTTTGAAGCCTGCTCTTGTGGCTTGCGGCCCGCCCCAGCAGAATGTCGGACTTTAAGTTTTCGTGTTAGTGCACGGTGCTCAGGGTCAGATCTAGAAAGTCCGGCAGCTCAGGGTTGTGCTCGATAGGAGTTGGATTCCTGACCGAAGTGTTTTAGGAATTCCAGCGGTGCGTCTCTGTCGCCTCCGGGGAGGAATATGACCGGAGCCCGTTTGGGGTGACGTTAACCCGGCCGGCGTTTATTTAGATTTGGCTTATTTCGAGTTCGAGCCTTCATCCAGTGGGTGCGGGGGAAAAAGTTCGAAGTAAAAGGGAGACTCCTCACGGGGAAGTCGGCTTCGTTTTCGTGTCGTGCGTGCGGGCGAGGCGAAGCTGCGTGGGCGGGCGAGAGGAATAAACCCGCCGTGGCCAGGGCGAAACTTAGCTCAATTATTCTATGCCCCTCTGGTTGTCCATACGTGGCTCGGGGTTGTCCTGTTGGTGTCCCGTGGTGTCCCGTTGTGTCCCGTGACGCGGTGTCCAGCGGTGTTCCGTGGTGTCCAATGTGTCCCGTGGCGCGGTGCCCCGTGATTTCTTGGGTCCCATAGTGTCCCGTGAGGTCGATTGCGAGATCGGTAGTTAGCGAGATCGATGGTGAGGGCTCGAGAATGAGGTCGGTTGCGAGATCGGTAGATGGTGAGACCGAGAGGTAGGTGGAGATCGATAATGCTAGCGATAGGTAGATAGAGAGTGAGGTCGGTAGTGAGATGACCAAACACTTGCTCCGTGGTGCCTAATTGGTTTCCGCTGAATCCGATCCGACCTCAATCGCACACCGAACGCTGAACTCCCCTCCCTCAGCGCTCTTGTCACCCGAAGGGTGGTCGCATATGTATATTCCGTAGCCAGGGCTTGCACTTGCGGGCTCTTATTTCTGTGCTTTAGAACTGGGCCGTGTCTTCGGTCTGGATGCTATGTCCGAGCGGTTGCGAAGCGTCCTGGCTTGCTTATAAACCATCAAAGAATGTGACGATGATATTTTGTGGTTTGCGCGAAATGTTCTTAAACCATTTCGGGCTCAGACTGTCTTGTTCTAAGCAGTCGGCTTCATTTGATTAGAGCAGCGCGTATGTTCTCAGAGTAATTTTTGTTTCACCGATTTGCTGTGCTAGGTCTATAGGAATGCCGAGGCGGTCGGTCCCTGCTCAATATGTGGCCGCCGTCGCCGCTTTGCCGCCCTGTCGCCGCATCGCCGCCGCCTGTCGTCTGGGCTGTGTATTCGGCACGGCGGCTATGTTGTCGCCGTCGCCGCTCCGTTGCCGCCTCGTGGCCGCCCGTCGTTTGGGCCTGTCTGCGGGTCTGGCGGCTATGTTGTCGCCGTCGCTGCCTCGTCGCAGCCCCGTCGCCGCCAAGATTGGACAACATAGATTGCGCCAAATGTCGAAGACGCCTACGGCGAATCACCGCCGCCCCCTGCCCTTGTGGAAGCCCCTATGTGGCGTCAGCCGGGCTAGAGCTTGGCCAAGGTATCGGGCCAGTGGTTCCCCGAGCCGGTTTGCAAAGCCTTCGGGGAACGCGTAGGGGAAACCCGTCGGGGAACACTTGGGGGAGGATGATGGGGAAGATCGCTTGCGAGCTTAGGGATGGACGGAGGGAGGGAGGTGGAGGTCGAGGTGGAGGAGGAGCCTCCCTGGTTCCTGGCTCTCCCCGGCTCGCTGACGCAGCAGCACAGGTTCTGACGTGGATCTCGCAAGTGACCCTCGCGCTGCAGTTCATCCACCAGCACCAGGACCCCCCGTTCTCTGCGATTGTTGGGGTACCTCCCGTCGCCCTGGATAACGACTCTCCTCATCATTCTCCTCCGTCTTGTCTCACTCTTATCATCCCACTGATGTTCCTTCCCGTTGCCCTCATCGCATCGGCTCTTCCACCTCATCTCCCCTCGCTTCCGCCACTTTTTTTCGATGCTCGTTTTCCCTTCCTCTTTCTACCTCACTCCTTTCTCGCCTTATCCGCGTCGTGTCCTCCCCATCTGATGTCCGTCCGCATTATGATCCTCCCCACTTCTTGTCTTCATCGCGTTGCTGTTCCTCCTTTCCATCCTCCTGCACCTTCTCACCCCCTCTTTCTTCTCCGCCTCCTCGGGATCCCGCTGTGGAGCCCAGGAACCACCCCCGAGGCGGTACTCCTTTACTCGATACTCGAACGCTTCGGCCACATGACGAGGAGTGGCCCCAACTTTCTGAAGGGATCGCCCCCCTGCCGCTGGCCCTTCTGTTTGTTTCGCTTCATGGTTAGGCGTGTGGCGTGTTCATTGGTCGATTGGGAAAACGGTCGTCAGGTTGGCAAGTCGGTTGGTCACCGGACTGGCTCATTGGAAGATTGGTTGGCCGACTGGTTGGTTGGCCGGGTGGATGGCTGGATAGTTGGTTGGTTTGTTGGCTTAGATGCCAAGTGGGGAAGAAATCAATTATTGGTGCAGAACGAGGGCCGTGCTCGCGATGTTTCGTGTCTGCGCGAGCGCCGACCCGTCGCTTTCTTTCGCAGGATCCTGGGCAAATTGTGTTTTACAAGGGGCTGTGGCTGTGGGAGCGCAGATTCATGGTTTTCCAACACGGATCGTGGCTTTGGGAGCACACATGAGTCGCGTGTTCGGGATCGTGTCCGCAAGAGAGCGGATCCACTTTGTTTTGCGAAGGGTCGCATTCCTCCTCCTCCTCCTCCTCCTCCTCCTCCTCCTCCTCCTCCTCCTTCCGTAGCCATTTTTGGCTAAGGATGCAAGGTGCTCGGGGGAACCAAGCGGATGCTGCTAGCCCGCGGCGGGCAAAGCAGTTGGTGTTTGGCATTTTTTTCTCTCGGCCTTCACTGCGGGGTTGGGCTCCCGCACCCGAGTCGACAGCATCACTCGCATTACACCTGTCTCTCCGGTGCCGTCGTCGGGGGTCAGCAGGAGAAGAACGACCGTTTTGAGCGTACGCGGTCGGATTCTCGCTCACGTTCAGGTGACGCATCGATTGAGCGCATTAAGTCGACAGCCACACCGAACCGCAGGTCATACTCTCGCTTTCGGCAACTCTCACAGAGCTCAGATGATGGGCCAGGGGGGGCACCGCCATCGCAGGGCCCGAGCTGGACGAGCGAGCTAGTCGACAGCATGTGGGGCCATCCCGAAGGCGGACGCAAACATTCAGGCCCTGAATGGAAGGATCGCGGTTGTTGGGAACACCCAGCACGACCGCATCGTCGAGGCCGTCGACACGGCCATGGAGGTGAAAATTGAGACCATCAGCTCAAAGACTGCAGCACTGAGGGCGCGGCCTGCGTCGCCGGTGGCAGACAGTGCAGGTGGTGACTCATGGGAGGTGGTCCGCAATGGACGACGGCGGCCTGATACACAGCCACAGACCAACAAGATGCGCAGTTGGGTCGGCACCTTCCCGCGCACCCACACGTACACGCAGAGGAAGGATTTCTTCCTGAAGAACATGGAAAGCCACCTTCCCACTCACGTTAATAGTCGCACGCTTGCCGTCAACAGGGCGGGCAAGAGCTTTGCGGTCGACTTCACGACGGAGGTTGCGGCCAGAGAGTTCCAAGCCATCTTCGGGGACATCCAAGTCACCTGGGTCGACCCGAGGGGTCAGCGAGCGCAGCTGATACGAGTGCGATGAGACCTACCGCTGGATGTCAGAGCTAGACAGAGGGTGGCGCCAAACATATGTGATGGAACCTTGCAGCTCCTTCGGGCATCGGGCACGAGGATGCAGGGGTACAAGCATGGGTGCAACTGCTACATGGGCATCATCAGCTGGATCTCCGACGAGTACATCGATGAGCTGTGCAAGATCGAGGGATCGGATGAGCGGGGTCGGGGGGTTGGTCGTTCAACCCATTCTTGATTGAGTTCGAGAGGCTGGGGATTGCCCAGGGGGGCGCGCAAGCGATGATTGGGACCGCATCTGTTGCAGCCACGCCCAGCCAATAGGAAATGCCACAGCGGGACCGCCACTGTGACGACATGCCCCCTCTATCTCGCGGCCTTGCACTCACATCCACAGCGTTTTCTCGAGAAGAGCAAATCGCAATGCACAGGGGGGCTTTGCCGGGTGATGGTCCACACTCTGTCGATGATAGTGTGAAGCCGCCGTCTTCGAGTTCGACGTCCTCCCTCTCATCCTCCTCTGGGTCGTCGTCGTCAGATAGTTCCAGCCGTGCTGATAGTAGTGGAAGTGAATTTGATTCGTCCTCCACAGAAGGTGGGGGCCAGCCGCCAGAGCCCCCGCGTGACCTAGCCGCTTTCCCCTTCCTCCCTTCGAGCAGCTTCTCCCTGGCTACCTGGAACATCCAGACGTACTTCGGAAGTGACTGGGGATCCCCCAAAGCTCAGCTCGATACCCATGCCCGTCTCAGGCGTCTTACCAAACCGTTCGATGCGATCCTTCTCCAGGAAGCCCATGGAGCACGATCGGATCTACACTGGGGGCATTGGTCGCCATGATGCGCGAGAGCCTGCTCGCCAATTGTTGCTTCTTTCATGCTGCTACACTTGCACGAGGGCGCGGGGGCGTCCTGTAGCTGGCGGGGGCTAAAGGAGGGCTTCCGGTATTCGGAGCCCACGCGGGCTCCAAACTTTCTCCACCCGAGCAGAGGGGCATCCTTGCGAAGGTGGGCTCACGCAAGTGGACGGACAGCGATGCGACTGCATGGATCTGCGGAGGCTTTAACTTCTCGGAGGAAGGGGAGGGGGGCTTGTTGCGGCGACTGGCCGGCAGGAGCCGTCCCAGGACTCGCTTGCTCGACGTTGTCATGCTGTGCTGCCAGGGCTGATAGAGATCGCCCAGTCCAAATGCGCCCGCAAGCATATGCAGTTCCGCGCGCTGGTCTCTCTTGGTCGCTTGGACAAAACATCTGGTGCGATTCCGACTGCTTCCCTCCGCCATCTCCAACCAGCTTCGGGAGCACTTTGCGGCATCAGCAGCGAGAAGATCCCAGGCGACCATGCGCCAGACTTTGCTATTCTTCGCTCTGCCGCGAGGGGGCCCGGGGGGGGGGCCATCCCGAAATGCACGGGCCAGTCGTCATCCGCTGTTTCAAGAACATGTTTGCGAGCTGCTGTTCACGATTGATTTGAGCGAGGAGCCGCGCGCAAGGCTCACCGACCTTAATTATTTGCATTGTGTAGCAGGCCGCCACCCTGACTAAGAAGTATAAGCAGCTAGAGGGCCCTGTGCCAATGGCGGAGGGGGCGTCTTGGATGCTTGCACTGGTTCGTGGGCACCTTCGTCGGGATTGGGCTGTCGCTCGTCGGGCTTTACGCGCGCATACTAGCTTGAGGGACTACTATGATAGGGATGTTCCTGGATGGGTTCGCCCTGCAACGTTTCGTTAAGTTCTTGCGAGCCAGGTTTCAAAATGAAAGTTGATTTGGGAAATATGCCTCCTTCATCCAGAAGGCCCCCGAGGGCGCCCAGCTGTTCATGAGTCGACCGCAGTTTGAGGTCACGATGTCCAGGTTCAGGGGCCCCAACCCTGGCCCCGACGGGGCCCCGCACAGCGCTTGCCAGAAAGCTGGGGGCGTGACCGCGCAGACAATGCACCGCGTGCATGTGCGCTTGGCTGAGGGAGGTGACCTGCCTGAGAATTTCAATGCAGGTATCGGAGCCTTCCCGCCTAAGGGGGGTCCTGACCCACTGCGCCCAGAAGATGCCAGATCCCCTGGCCACACTCGCCCGCTCACCCTCATGGGCACTAGTAACCAAATGATCGCTACCGCGATGGCCCGCACCCTTTCCATGCGCAGTCAGGTCGTATCTACGCTCATGCAGTTGTGAAAACCATGTGTAACAGATGGAACATTAGTGGGAGGTGCAAAATGGGGACTCCTGGGCGCAGGTGAGGATGCCAGTATACACGAGGAGACGTTCTCACGCATTATGTCCCAGAAGTGAAGACCCCCCCTCATCTGATTTCAGGCCGGGGCTCTGGCGGCTTCGTTCAGCAGCTTGTTCTAGGACGAACGTCTGTTGAGTCATCGGAGGATATCTTGTCCTCTGCCGTCGCTCTCGACCTCCTCCTGAGCACACAGCAAACCATGAAGGGCAACGGCCTAACCGGTGCCTCGACCGTCATTGGGCTGGTGAAGGCGCGTGCGAGAGCAATGGCGAGGCTCTGCGCGAAGGTGCGGGGCCTTGTCCAAGGCCAGGACAGCCCCGCGCCGCCCCCCCCCCTTCTCGCTGCTGCCACCGCTGGTCCGCCCCCCACACCCCCCCCTGGGTGAGTGGCGTTCCTCCTCCTCCTCCTCCTCCTCTTCTTCCTCCTCCCCCTCGTCGTTATTGTCCTCCTCCTCCTCCTCCTCCTCCTCCATCCCTCATCCCTCCCTTCCCCCTCCTTTCCTCCCCCTTCCCTCCTCCCTCCCTCCTTCCATCCTTCTCCTCCCTCATATCCCTCCCCCATCACTTTTCCCTCCTCCTCCTCCTCCTTTTTCCCCTCCTCCTCTTGCTCCTCCTCCTCATCATCCTCCTCCTCTTCATCCTCCTCCCCCTCCTCCTCCTTCTCCTCCTCCTCCTCCTCCTCCTCCTCCTCCTCCTCCTCCTCCTCCTCCCCCTCGCTCGCTTGCTCGCTCCTTGGGGCTTAAAAGTATGAGGCCGTGCCAGTAATGCGAAGGTGAAAGACATGCAACAAATATGAATTCATGCAAAGGGGGAGGGGGTCAGGGCGACACCACGATACGGGGGGGCCAGAGAGTCCCCTTCGGGGCGCCCAATTGCCACGCAAGGCAAAGGCGGTCCTGTCGGAGAGGCTAACGGTCCAAGGGTGGGTCCCGGCATCATGCCCCAGGCGGCCTTCTTTCCCCAGCAATCCTCGAAACGCAACTGGCAGACAGAGGGGTCATGGGTGAACGTGACCCCGTTCCCCCATCGAAGTCCTCCAGTCGTCAGGGCAGGGGCCCCGTCATAACCCCCGTCAGGGGCAGCCCTCCCTCCATCAATAGTTCGCAGATCCCATCTATATCGCTTCTCTGCACAACGGGCGATACTCCTGCTGACAGCAAGCGCACCCTTGCCGCGTGGCAGAGGCAAACAACAACTCCACCCGTGTCTGCAAGCGGCATGGTCGAAGCTGATGTCGCAGTGTGCCCCCCCCCCCCGCCCGTTCACGGAAGCAAGAGAGGCAGAGATGATGGTTGAGGCAGCATAAAGGGTCGGCATGAGAGAAGTTGGTCCGCCCCCCCAGACGTGATGGTGGCCGCCGCGCTGGGCCACGCACCCCATAAGGCCACAGAAGTGGGGATCCCTGGATCCAAGGGCGTGTGTCCGCACCTGGGCAGATTCGAAAGGGCTCCGACCTCAGGGGGGGAACCCGCAAAGGGTTGGGCCGTGTTCACCGAGGGGGAGACGGATATCAACCAGCAAACTGGAGTACCATGTGCAACACACTTCCACCATAATTCAACGCATGAACGAAGCCACGCGCTCGTTCTCCCCATCCACTGACGCTCGCTGGTCCTGGTACAACCCCAAGGGGCCGCAGAGGTACGAACGGGAATGAGGCCGTCAGGGATCGATTATATCGGATGCGAAGCCTGCGTCTCCTCCCCCTCTTCTTTTCTCCTCACCCTCCTCCTCATCCCTCTCCCCTCCCGTTTTGCCAGTTTGAAACATATCCCTATCCCTATGTTTGACATTACCCGACCTCGATGCCGATCTTAAGGATTCCCCTCAGTTTCTGGGGGCCTATCCCTAATATTGTCCTCGCTTGTTGCTCGCCCATCTTCGGGATAGGGATAAGTTCGAGGTTGGCTACGTTCGCCTCCAATGGTTTCGTCGCCATCCCCTCCAGGTTCTACACCGCGACCTGAAGTGTTCCAACATCTTCCTGGACGGCAGTCGTGGCAGGTCTTGTGGAGGAGGAGGAGGAGGACCAGTGTAAACCCAAGAATCATCAACGATGCTGAAATTAACCCTCCTTCCAAGCTCCCTCTTCATAGGCCCCTACAGTGGTTAATTTCCATTGAGGGAGCTGCCCCGCTGGAAGACAACCTTTTGAAGATCCTGAAGCATGCCAAAACATCGCCCTCGGGATTTCAACGCCACGTATCAACCTGACTGCTGCGTCTTGACGATCCGGAATCGTGTCAGAACGCCATTTTTGGGGATTTCAACACCGCGATTCAACCTACATGTTGCACCAACATAATACTGAATCCGTCCAAAACGCCATTTCGGGTACGTTGATCATGGGAACCCGTGGAACTCTTGCACGTTTTAAACGGATGTGCGCGGCACTAAGGCGAGAGCCACATTGCGAAAAGGAGCCGCCCCCAATCCGCGAAAAGCTGGCAAAATAATTAAAACGAATGTGCGCGGCGCCCAGGCGAGAACCACATTTTGAAAAGGAGCCGCCCTCAATCCGTGCAACCTTTGCAATTTGTGCAACGACTGTGCGCGGCGCTAAGGTGAGAGCCACATGTTGAAAAAGGAGCCAGTCCCAATCCGTGAAGCTGTTGCAAATGTTTAAATCGAGTGTGCGCGGCGCTCAGGCGAGAGCCACATTTTGAAAAAGAACCGCCCTCAATCCACGAAGCACTTGCAATCTGTTTAACGAATGTGCACGGCGCCAAGGCGAGAGCCACATTTTGAAAAGGAGCCGCCCTCAATCCGTGAAATTCTTGCAACGATTTGAAACGAAGGTGCCAGAGGCGCTAAGGCGAGAGCCACAGTTTGAAAAGGCACCGCCCGCAATCCGCGCAACGCTTGCCAATGTTTAAAAAGATTGTGCGCAGCGCTCAGGCGAGAGCCACAGTTCGAAAACCACCCGCCCTCCATTTGTGAAACTGCTGCAACTGTTTAAGCTTCAGAGTCATAAGTGGTGAGGAAGTCTCAGGCGAAACGCCCACCCGCTTTAAAAACTGGCTTCGGGGTGCGACCGGGGTAAGGTATCGATAAGGAAAAGGAATGGAGGAGGACGAAGAGGAGGACGAGGAGGAGGTCGACAAGGAGGATGACGAGGAGGAGGAGGACGAGGAGGAGGAGGAGGAGGGAAGGAGGAGAGGAGAGAAGGATGGAAGGCGGGAGGAGACGGAGGAGGAGGAGGAGGTGGAGCAGAAGGAGGAGGAAGAAGAGGAGGAGCAGGAGAGAGTAGCAGGAGGAAGGGCAGAGGTGGAAACAGGAATGCGTAGGACAGGGGGAGGAGGGGACAGATCGGAAGCTGGAAAATGACGGAAAGCAGGAGGACTGAGGACGGAGGAGGAACTTGAATGAGGGGAAGAGGAAGAGCGAGGACTCACAGTGATGCAGAGGATGACGGAGAAAGGAGGAGAGGAGAGCATGGAGGATATGGAGGAGAAGTACGAGGAAGGATGAGGAAGACAGGGATAGAGCGAGGGAGAGAGAAAGAGCAGGGGGAGAAGGAGGAGTAACAGTCACAAGGCGCAGGTCAGAGGAAAGAGGAGACGCGAGGGCGGAGAATGTGGAGGAGGAGCGGGAGGAGGAGGAGGAGGACGAGGAGGGGGAGGAGGAGCAGGAAAAGGAGGAGGAGGAGGAGGTGGAGGAGGAGGTGGAGGAGGGGGAGGAGGAGGAGGAGCAGAAGGAGGAGGAGGAGGAGGAGGACATCGGGGGGATCGTAGGCGGATCGTGTCCACAGGAGGGGGCCAGGGCAGCTACGTAAAGGGGATGTCTCCCCTTCGTGTTTCTCATCCACTGGGACAGGCCGCTGTGAGGATTTCTCTGCTGCCAGAACGGAATGTCCTTGCCTGCCAAGGTCGAGATCCGAGGCGAGGGAGGGTACGTTCGCAGGCACGCCTCAGTTTGTAAGCGAGGTCTTGACCTCTTCTTCCTCCTTGCTCCCTCCTGTTCCTTCTCGTCCCGTCATTCGTTCCGCCTTCTTCCTCCTGCTCCTTCATCCGCTATCCTTCTTCATCCTCATCATCCTCATCAATACCATCAACAGGGCATACCAGAACTTACACATTATGCACATGCATGGGGTACCACAACATGTACAGCATTGCTCACTACGTGAATATGATCTTGACACAGCAAGTCGTCGTACATACCAACATCCTGCTATGCTACGGGCTCGTGTGCTCACACACCCTCCTCTGTCGCCATCGGGTGCGCTGCTCAAAAAATCGGCACGGCCGAGGCACGGCCACCGAGCGGTGGCCCAGTTCCGCCACCGCCTCCGAGGGTACTCGGTCTTTTCCCTCCTTGGCAGCCGCTACCCGTGGAGCACACAGCGACACGGACATCAATACGATGGTCGGTGGATCTCATATTCGGAGCTAGAGTGCCAGCAGTAGCAGCGGCCGGCACAACACGAACGACAAGGCTTACAGGCAGGCCACCGACAGCAGTAGAGGCATCATTAGCAGCATCTCCGACCCCAGCAGCGACAGCGACCACATTCGCGACCTCAACTCCTACACTGCCTCCACCACTTCTTGATGGGGGAGCGTGGAAGTGGAGAAGGCGCCGGCAGCGCAAGAGGCGAAGGCCGCAGCAGCGAGAGCACCGTGACGCCTCCCCCAGGGCTCCTTCACGGCCTCGTCGGCATCTGGCTGCGGATGCAGGACAGCGACGTCGGGACCGCCAGCAGCGAGGCCACCCCTTGCGGGCCCACCGCAACAACGCACGGACGGGGCTTCAGCCGCGGCGCCGCTCGAGGTCTGGCTGCAAGCTCCCGAGGCAGGGGCAAGGGTCGCGGCCGAGCCTCGCAGGAAGCAGGGGAGAGCGGCCGCAAGGCTCGTCGTGGCGACCACGGCGAGAAGCAGTGGAGAAGCAAGGACAAGCCTCTGCTCGCACTCTTGACGGCCGCTCAGACTTCGCACAGGAGCTGGCACAAGACGCTGAAGCTGGTCGTTCAGGCATAGCACAGGACTCGTCTCAACACGGCCGCCGCGCGACGGACCCCTTCAGGCCCTCAAGCACTGGTACCACAATCGGAGACCCCTTGGTTTGTGATGAATTTCGAGAACGCGCTGATCCTGCCAGCGCTAAGTACCTGCTATCAAGAAGCGGTTACAATCTCTCGGAGGAGTGGTGAACAAGGGATGCGCTGTCCCCTGATCATGCCGCATAAGAGTAGGGAAAAAATGAACCACCTGACGCTTTAGAGCCTGAGAACGCTGGAAAGCGGGTCCCAGACCCCTCGCCACACAGAATTGGCTAGCAGGCGAGGCTCCAAGAGTCGCCAGGCCCTTTCCAACTTTCGCAAATACAGCATGACGGGCTCAAGAGTGCCGTGATCTTGAAGAGGCCTCTGGCCTGTACCGCCGATCCGGTACGCTTCGGGACGCTCCCTGCGAACTAGTCCTGTTTAGTTGTTTTGTGAACTTTCACCGGGGGGGCAGGAGAGATGATGAGGTAGGAGGAGGAGGAGGAGGAGGAGGAGGAGGAGGAGGAGGAGGAGGAGGAGGAGGAGGAGGAGGAGGGGGGAAAAGGAGGAGGAGGAGGAGGAGGAGGAGGAGGAGGGAGGAGGAGTAAGAGGGAAAGGAAGGTGTTGACAGTCCTCTGAACCAGTATATGTTGGATGGAATGTGGTTACTCACCCATTGGTGGGTCCCCGGCTGAGCGAACATTGATTTATTCAATTTGCGAGCTCAATGTTGTATTTCAAAACCTCGGAATTGAATTCGGCAGCCGCCAATTCAATAATAGAGTTCCGAACCCCAAAATTGAAATCTTGAAAAGTCGAATTCTAAATCTCAGAATTTGGAATTTGAATATTGAAATATTGATCTTTGGGCCGGGGGCCATGGCGGTCAGCGCCTGCGCGCGCGGGCTGCTGGCGGCGGCGCTGGGTCTCGGACTTTCGCGGATGATCTGCCTGCCCGGCGTCGCGGCGATCGGGTACACGGAGGGTGGCGGGATCGATTTGAGGGTGACCAAGCCGTTGTGTGTCAACATGCAGCTGCCCTACCGCTTCTACACCCAGCCGTCTTTCAGGCCAGCCGTGATCCAGGAGAGCATAGAGAATTTGGGCGTGATCTGGGAGGGCGACAGCGTCGAGAACAGCCTCTACGCGATCAGGATGCCGGAGAAAGCGAGCTGCAGGACGCTGTACATTCAGAAGTTCCCGACCGAGGAGAAGGCGAAGTTCCGCGGCATGATCGACGACGGGTACGTAGTGAATTGTCTGGCCGACAACCTGCCCGCGGCCGCGCGCTACTTCAGGCGGGGCAAGAACGGCGCGGAGACCATCTGCATGCACGGCATCCCCGTCGGCATCGTCAGGATTTCCAGGTACTACATCCGCAGCCACGTGAAGCCTGACCTCAAGCACAACGAGAGCCCGCACGAGTGCAGGTGCTACCGCGTCGTGGGCTTCGAGGTTGAGCCGTACAACATGACGCAGGCGTTCAAGGACAGCATCGGGCAGCGCCAGGACAGCGTGGCGCACCTTGTCTTCGACCTCGCCGACAAAGAGGATGTCACCCTCACGTATGATATGCAGCGGACCGAGAGCGAGAAGCGATGGGCCTCGCGGTGGGACAACTACCCCAAGGGGACGAGAGGCCAGATCCGCTGGTTGTTCTCCCTTGATTCGCCGATGATCATGTGCATCCCGGGGCTGGGCGGCTCTGAGCCGGCCCTGTCAACGAACCATTCGGATTCCTTTTCTCAAGCCGGCAAAATCGGCCAGATCATAAACACGCCTGTAATTAAACATCTTGCCTTCGTATCTTTAATAAATCCCGCAGGGTCGCGAGGTCCGGATGGCAATCAGCAGAGCCTCCTGTTCGGGGCAGCCGGCCCGTCTCTTTCCCACTCCGCTCGCCCTGCTCTCAGTCCTCTCTTTCCCGCCCCGCTCGATTCTGTTTTGCGCGGGTACCCGCTAACGTTTCTAGATTATTTTGCGAATGAGGGGCGGCCTGGCACCCTCGTGCGCCCACCCC